ATGTAAATATAAAATTAGTATTATTATCATGGTTATTTTATTCAGTTGATTTAAGTTCTTAACCGTACATATTAAAAACTAATCTTTATTTTTCAGGGGGTTTTTTTGTTCAATTTTTAAAGTTTTTTTTATATAAAATTTCAAAAATAGTTTGTTGCATCTTTCTTTCCTTCAAAAAGTCTCAATTATATACCTGAAGCACCCTCTGAGATTTGATTTGTTGTAACTTTCTGTACATTTTTGCATCTTAATCAATATTTAATTAATATGACACAAAAGTCTAGCTGTGATTAAGGAGTCAAGGTTTGTCTGGTGTTACGTCCCTGGACGTATTGTTATTATTGTTATATTCTGGTGCAAATGTATCCGCGAGGTTGAGTGCTCTGTGTTGTGCTTGGTGTCTCTCTCTCTCTCTCTCTCTCACTCTGTTCCCTCTCAGGCTCCCTCTCACCTGTAGCTCGCTATGAGTAATATAATAAATAAATCTCCATCTTTGTATACATTTGAATTGGTGTCATTTTCACTCTGGGACAGAGGACTGAAGTGTGTTCTTGCCGGTTTATTTTTTATTTTTTTAATTTATGCTTTTTTTCCTTTTGCTACTTCCCCTCGCAAACCCCTAGACAGGAGGGGAACGTAACACTGGTTATCCTGGTCGATCTTGTAACTGACTGCACCATCTGACTGCAGTTAGCCTCTTTCTCCACTGACCTGCAATAAGACATGACTAATTATTCATAACATCTAATATCTCTTGGTTTTATGTGTCTGTTTTAGCCTGTGTCCTGGCCTGAGGTCAATGGTGTTGTGCTCAGTTACTCTGCAACCTGTCGCAGTGATCTGGATTCATCGCAGTGGACCTGTGACACTATAGACGCATCAAGACGCTCCTGCATCCTCACCGTCTCTGATGATCCCTGTCACTGCAGCCTGACAGCGACGAACTCTGCCGGGACGTCACCTCCAGTTCACATCTCCATACCTGCACATACGCATGCAGGTAAATCACTGAAGGGATGCTTCAATGTGTTTAGGATTTTCAGCGGAATTAATGTGCAGCTAATAACTTTTGAGATGGTTTCTAGCTGGTCCTGGTTGGTCTTGAATCTTGATTAGGAGTCGACCGATGTGTTTATCAGGGCCTATGCCGATACCGATGTTTACAGATAAAGTAGACTGTATACCGATATTTTGAACCAATATATATGTCTGGTGTAAAAATGCAAGTTAATGTCAAAATTAAGAATAAGGGCTCTGACAAAAACTTTCTTTAAATGCTTTTAAATAATTTTATTGGCAAATCGGTTTTAAAAATGACTGATACTAGTAACCATAAAAATGCTTAATATCGGCACCGATAATCAGCCGACCCCTAGTTTTGATGCTTATATTATATTATATTATATTATAGATAAATTATTAAATGCTATTTTAGTTTTACTATTTTGAGCAAACATAAAAAGAAAAAGTATAATCAAATGAGAATAAGCACGTTTTAAAAGGTATCAAAATAATTTGAATAAATAATGGCAGAACTATCCCCTTAAGCAATTTCATTAAATTGCTATCTAAATAAATATATTTAAAAGTATAAAAAATAATTACCAAAAATATATTGCTGCTTGAGATTTTAAAATATATTTACATGACAAAACATAATCAAAATATTTTCCTTAGATTTCCTCATTTTTAAGTGCTATTTATTTGTTTATTTGTTTATTTATAATATTTTAAGATTGGATATATTTACTGTACTTAAAGAGAAAAAAATATTACAATCTCAAAATATAGAATAGAATACGATCAAATGAAAATAATCACCTTTCAAGTATTTAATTCCCTGATTTATTTAATAATAAGCATTTTTCCATTGATTTATTGCAAATAATATATACAGCCCACCTGCACTTCCAGTAAAGTCTTATTTTGTTGTGTTGTTTACTTCCTCCTTTTTCTCTCCATTATTCTGCAAAACTTCATCAGGCAGGTCAAATCATGTTTTCAACCAGAATGAAAGACTAACATCCTGCTACAAACACAACGCAACTTTCTTGTGGTTGTTTAATGAAATAGTGATAATTTATCTAATAAATTCTAAACAAAGTTTCATAAAAACAACATCATTATCGGAAACCATTCGGTCATTTATTCTAAATTTATCCCCCTTTTCCTGTCCTAGAAGAACTCCCACCCCCTCAGGCTATCAGCGTCACCCCATTGGACGACACTCGACTGACGGTGGAATGGACAGCTGCACTGAACCAATCAGAGAGAGGCTTTGTGGTACAGTGGACTTCTGTGCCTTACAGTGAACCAACTAGTCTGCACTGGGAGCATATAAATGAAACTGCAAGAAGCTTTGTTGTCACAGGTCTGAAAAGTCACTTTCTTTCCAATTGAAAAGTCATTTTTTGTTTCGCTGGTCGGTATAACAGTGGCCTGTTGGTGTGGATTCACATCATACAAAAGTTTACAGTTAATGATGCCATTAATATATTTATTGTCTTTGTCTGTTTTAGATGTAAGTTTAGATAATAATAATAAAAAAAAAGAATATCTTAAATATATATATATTTTTTTGTAATGATTATTTATTTATTTATTTTTGTATAGTCATATTATCCTTAGCTGTGCCTGGTTTTTAAGATATTATATTGTAGTCTTTTACTAATAATAATAATAATGTGTGTGTTTCAGGTCTTCTGCCAGAAGTACCATATAATCTGTCGGTCGTGAGTCTGTATGGGCGACAGGCAGGAAGTGACATGTCAGTCATTGCTTTCACACGGGAAGGAGGTCAGATATTACACTGAAAATGTGTGCATTTATTGGAACTGACAGTGTGGTAGTATTGCAGTAGTATTCACCAGCTCTCTTGCCATAATCCATGCTCAAAAAATTAAACAAAATAATATAATACAGAAACATTATCTTTAGGGGAAACTGGGGCTAGTTGTCACACATGCTACAGTACATCTATATATACTATAGCTACAGTACATAAATTCTGGTCGATTTGCATGTCAAATGATGGCAGAACTATCCCTTTAAGCAATTTCAACAAGCATCATCCTTCTAGAAGATCTATATTTTTAAATATATTGAATATATTTTAAGTATATTTAAAAATATACAAATAATTGCCAACCATATATTGCTTATTTAAATTTTAAAATACATTTGCATAACAAAACATAATCAAATTATTTTACTTAGATTTCCTATTTTTTAAATGCCATTTGTTTGCTTGTTTCTTTATAGTATTTTAAGAATAGATATTAATTGTACTTAGAGAAAAAGTATTTCAATCTATATATGCTATAGCAACAGTACATAAATACTGGCAGATCTGCACATCAGGTCATAATTTTGCTGAAAAGCCATTAAATATGTTGTGGAAGACGTGTGTGTGTGTGTCTATAAAAGTATATTATATATAAGTATATTATATTTATATATGCTTTTATATAGTATATCTTATGTCATATAAGGTATTGAACTCAAATCACTGTCAATAGACAGCAGGTTCCCATTGTGCCATCTTACCGCATATGTGACAACATGCCCCACTCTCCATCGATGCAACACACACACACACACACACATATATATATATAACAGCATGAACACATTTTCATAATTAAAGTTAGTCTATAAATAAAGGAACATTTAAAGGGACAGTTCACCCGAAAATGAAGATTCTGTCATCATTGACTCCATTAAGTTATTCCAAATCTTATTAATTTCTTTGGGTAACCAGCTGATGGTTGCCATTCATTTCCATAGTATGGACAAAAATACTATGAAAGTCAATGGCTACCGTCAACTCTGTAGTTACCCACATTCTTCAAAATATCCTCTTTTGTGTTCAACAGAAGAAAGGAACTCATACAGGTTTGGAACAACTTGAAGGTGAATAAATGATGCCAGAATTTTAATTTTTGGGTGAACTGTCCCTTTAATGCTTTCTCATGTGGCTGCAGTGATCGATGTGTTCCTGTGTTTCAGCGCCCTCTGTCGGCCCAAATATGACAGCGCTGAAGACGAGCAGCAGCGGTGTTGTTCTGAAATGGGATCCTGTTCCTTTAGAGAAACTCCATGGCTTCATCCAGAACTATACCATACTGTACAGCATAAATGGCAAAGACAAAAGTAAGACGCAAATGTTTCTTTGCGAAATGTTGAAAAGAAGTGTGGGGCAAGTAAATGATGAAAGAACTCTCACGTTTGAGTTTGACGCCTCGTGTTTGTGAAGGTGTGAAGGTAGACGCTCATGTTGAACGGATATCTCTCAGTGGACTGACGGAAGGAATCTATAACATCTGTGTAATGGCTCATACTGCAGTAGGGGGCGCCGCTGGGCCCTGTCAGATGGTGCTTGTGGGTAAGAATGAGGCCATTTGGATTGATTTTTTTTTTTACATTCTTGCCCGTATAAACAGCGTTATCTTTAAACCTGTTTGTGTGTGTTCACAGGGCTTGAGGATGTACAAGTGATTCCCATACTGCTGTGTGCACTTCTGCTGTGTTTTCTGATTCTAATCATCCCAGTATGCATGAGGGCGAGGTAAGACAACTTGTACAATCCATACTCATTAAAGGAGAACATTAATAAAAGTGGTTCTCTTTCAATGGATGTGGATTACTGATAGCATATTAAAACACTAATGCACGTTCTTTTATATAAAAAAAAAAAAAGTATTTCAGTATTTATTTAATATGACATCACACACTACCATGCAGTCTTTATAGTCACTGTTTATTGTTGTGTTTTAGGATTAAACGGTGTCTGTGTCCAACTGTACCAGACCCTTCAAAAAGCAGCCTGTCGGTCTGGTCTAACGCTAAACCGTGTCAGGTAAGATCAAATATAGTTCTATATTTATTCGGCCGTGTCAGTGAAATTCATTAAAACCCACATGCTGTTAGGAGGAGGTACTTGCACCTTCACTGCATCAATAAAGCAGTTTTTGGTGACTGAATTGTAGCTATTGCTGCCAGCAGGGGGATTTGTTATGTCTGGAAAGATAGTTTCTTCCAAATTAATATCCAAAAATGTTGCGTAAAGATATATATATATATATATATATATATATATATATATATATATATATATATATATATATATATATATATATATATATATATATATATATATATATATATATATATATATATATATATATATATATATATATATATATAAAGCCATAGAGTTTGAGAGTGGAGTAAGCCGAATCAGTTTATGGGTGGTTCTTTAACATTAGCACTTCTACATCCCAGGGTTTGATGCTTAAAAGCAATCAATTTTTAAAATATTTTGTACTATTTCGATTCTTTTTATTCGATTTTATTGCGTTATTTTGAATTATTTCTATCAATTTTTTAAATATATGCTCAGTTGGCATCATTAACACCACCGCAAATAATTTTTCCCCTAATAAAGTTGTATTTAAAGTTAGTGTACTTGGTTACCAAGAAGATACTGTGTCAGAAACTGTGTCAGAAAAGAGCATGCATGACATGAAATGTAGGACATGTGATGTATGGGGGGAAAAAAATCCTGCTAAATATCACTTGTGAAGATGATATTTTTATTTATTAATATTTCTATAATATATTTATTTATTTGCAAAATATGCATTAGCAGACGTTTTTATCCAAACTGATTTACATTACATTAATGCATTTATGGCAGTATACATTTTAGCAATTTATAAATGTTGTTGTTGTTGTTATTAATAATATAATATAATATATAATATAATATAAGGGGAACAATTATTATTATTATATTTGTTTTATATATTGATATATATTGACAATAATATAATGCAAATATTATTAATAAAAAATAATAATGTGAAAATTATTATTA